TGTAAAGCAGAGCAAGTTCTTATAAAGAAATCCACAAAGCAGAAGTGGAAATGGCTCTACACCTGGACTCCACCAGAACTACATTGTAAAATTCACTTGTCCACATCCCTCTGCTTTAACAAATCTGGAGCAACCCTTACCTCCTCCATGTGTTTTCACGACGTCCATGCTCTTTACATCCCTAATCATCTCATGACTCATGCCTAGTCTCCTTTAGCTTTCAGCGAAGCCCTCCATGACCGTAAGTGTCAAAAGGGCATCAAGCGAGGAGAGGCTCCAGATTCTGGAATCGTTCCTCAGTTAGAACTGTGCTCTGGAGGGATGGGGGCAAGAGAATCAAGGGAACAGAAGAGAAAAAGTTCTGGACAACTCAGCAGCTTGGTGCTGTCCTTGGTGCTGAATGTTAGGTTCTCTCCAAGTTTCATACATTGCTACGACCAGAAAATACTGGCAAATGGCAAATAACTGCAGTGGACAATAGTGAATGCAAAAAAGATCAGTGTATTAAAAAATCCTTATTTACAGTGAGCATGCTTATCACAAGGGTACAAAGGGGTTCCTATTGGGAAAAAAGGTGGGACCAGAGCTTTTCACAATGTATACTTTTCGTTAGCATTTTGTACTTGGTTGGAATTTTCTCAGTAGATTTGTCTATTACTGAACTTCAATATGAGAACCAAAAGAGTAACTGTATTATTTGGTCACATTACTATTAACCAAATACTCAATGTACTGGGCACTGTGACAGGCATAGGATTATAAACCCATATAAGGTATAACTCCTCAAAACAAAAGGAAAGAGAGCTTTACAAAGATAGCAATTAACTTTCAAGACGGAAAACTTAATATTTTTTTTTTACATTCTTCCTCTGCAGCTTTTACATCAATAATCTAAGCTCTTTCTTCTCCAAACTTAAAATTGCACAAGACCTCTAGCCCTCCTGTCACTGGAGAAGCATCTGCTCCAGCAGTCCAGAGTCTGGATTGCTCCTCTTCACAGCAATGGTGATCTAGAAAGATAATCATTTCAAGTATTGGTTTTATGACTTGCTTCCAAGTGAGAAGGAAAAATTAGGGAAATTCCATAACAGCACTTTGTGTTCCCTGTCCTATAGAAAGAATTTATCTGTTTCATCTATATTTAGAGAACACATTCATTTAGATGCTGTAACACAATTATTAATGTGACCATAAAATTATCAGTGAAGCCAAACCCTACAGCTTGAAAGCTCCAAGGACAATTAGATGGATTATCAAAGCAATAAGCACAATGGATTACATAGTTTAAGCCCTCTACTGAAAACACCCTCAGCCTTAATAAAATTTTTGCAGGCATACCTTGATTGACATTAGCTGCTGGAGGCAGCCTATGACTTAACTGCATGATACAAGGGCAACACTTTAAATTTTATCCACAAATTAATTTCTCATTGACCTCTACTTCTATAAACTGCCTTTATGGACTCCAAACACTTGAATCCTTTCAACAAAATAAAGGTCCTTAAAAAAACAGAATCTTAGAAACATACTGAGGGGTCTCTCTAAGAAAAGTTCATGGCAATGAGATCCTGAAAATACTTCTCAGACACGGTGGAAACAGGACTGACCACCTGTTTTTCTTCTAAATTAGCTAAAAACCAATGACCACAAATACATCTCCATATAAAGCAGGCATGATGACTCATTTGCTTCTTATCAGTAGACATCAGCCAAACCATACTGTATCTCAGTGAATGAGGTTGTGTTGTAAATAAAAGAAGCAAGAGAAAAGAAACTGGATGAAAGTGATGTTGGAGGCGTGGGTGAGAGTAAGTCAAAAAGTGTTTTCCACGTCACTCTTTCATCCAAAAATAAGAAAAAGTCTAGAGTGGTTTTCCATTTAATTTAAAATAATGTCCAAAGTGTTTCCTATTTTACATGATCTGATCTCATCTCCTCCCCAACTCCTGTATGCAACATCTGTTCTAGCCACACTGGCCATTTTTTTCCTGACATGCAAACATGCCAACGTCATTCCCCCACTGTAGGATATTCACATGTGATGGTCCCCCTGCTTGCACCACTCAACCCTGGATCTTCAGATGACTCATTTCTTTTTTTTTTATTTATCATCAAGGTCCCACTTCAGAATCTGTGTCCTCAGTGTGCTAGCTAAAGCCACCTCTTCACAACCTTTCCTTAACACGTGTCATCAAAACTTATCCATGCATCTGTCCATCCATCCATCCATGTGTTTATGTATTCCTTGCCTGCCTCTGCCACTCTACTGCAAGCTCTGTGAGGACAAAGACTCTGTCTTATCCAAAAATGTCTCCTCGGTAGCCAAATAATGCCCAACATTTAATAGGCACTTAATAACTATTTGCTACTGACCGTAACAGTTAAAAAAAAAAAAGTGTGTGATTTTTAGAAGGGGATAAGAATAGAGTCTTTTCAGAAAATGCTTTTAAAAAGCAATTTCTAACTGAAAAATGCCAAGGTCCTGGAAGAGAGCCCTCTAGTACATTTCTGGTACCTGAAGCCCTTGTCCTATCATTGCTGGATTCATTGACTATCCCAAGCTGCCAATTACACATACTGCAGAATACCAGTCCCAAGGTAGAAGGAAGGCATCACAGAGAATCAGAAGCCTGGGGTCTAATAATGAGATCCTGGATGCGAAATGTTACTGTATGCTCCTCTTTAAAATGAGGATACCATAATTAATTTGAGGGCTCAAGGATCTAATGTGAGACGCTTGGAACTCTACGATATTGGGCAAGTAAAGGGTGTTGGTGTTGATGAGGCTTGATCGAGATTTTACCTAGGGTCTAAGACTGGAAGGTTCTACAAGCTTGGAATTAATATTTCCTCAGAACCCAGAAAGAGTGCCCCTCAGATAAGGGCTAAGAAATGTCCCTGATTTTGCCTGCTTTCTTTTAAAAGCCTCACCTTTGGAATGTGACTAACTCCTATAAACAGCCGCCCTGGTTGGTGGTTAGCACATGCTCGTGCAACAAAAAAGCAGAACTACCTCATCTGCAACCCAACCTAAGAGTGTGACAACACGTTCCACACCAGCCATGTCACTGCTAGGACATGGGCTCAAGTGTTGTGCATAATACTGTACAAAATGACCTCAATCAGAAATGAGCTTAGGGCAAGCTCTAGTAGAATATGCCGAATAGAGAAAGTCCCTTTATATATACATCAGGCATGGAAGAATGGAGAAGGTCGATGTCTTGACACAGGGGTACCCTGGAATGGGTCTGACCGATCTGGAGCCAGGTGGGAGGTTCATGAGGAATTTACTCTTGGGGTCGGTCTGTCAACAAGAGGAAAAGTCTAAGTAAGAAAGTGGCCATGTCCGGTGAATAAAAAGGGGAGGTTGTGATACACAGGCTCTTGACTATTCCTCTCTACTGACTAAGCTGAGGGGAGAGTAAAACAGCAAATGTGCATATCCAAAGGAGCCCAATACAGAAAGTGATGGTGGACAAAGGTCAACACACATGCCGCCACACAACGATTCCAGGCCTAGCCCAAATACATTGAGGTCACAGGCAATGATCAGCAGCACTTTAGGGCAGAATATGGTCACTTGATTAATAGGTAAAATACACAGAATTCAAAGGGCAAGTCCCGAGTTTACCAAAGCTCACTGAGACAACGTGACATTGAGTAGGAAATCTTTTTGTCAAATGTTCATGTAACACAAAATATAATGAGGAAAACAATAGTTATTTTCAATTCGAAATCCACAATGCATACAAGAGTTTACACAGCGAAGGTGATAAAAATATTGACTATCGATGTTGACAGAAAACCTTCTGTGCACACTATTACTATATTGTGTGATTATATAAATGTAAGTTTAGCCCCTAAGTGTACATAAAGCAATTCAGATGGAAGCTTTTCTTCTGCCACAAATTTAACAGACTGTGGTTATCATGTTTGCCCCTGGGTATAAAGGAATATTTGGAAAAACTACACCTGGCTGTTAAAAATATCAGAGAAGAAAGGTCAGCTGAATTCGTTAGAAGAAACAGCATGAAAGCACCCTTAATGCTAATTTCCTGAGGCGACCGGGCCAAGAAATAGTCAAGGCCTGGTCAAGAAAACCCTGCTTATCGACCTTTTATTCAACCTTCCACAGTAGGCTCCAAAAAATACTCTAAGGTTATTTTTTTTAAAGAGGAAGAGAGTTACCAACCTTGCCACCACCACCCCCCCCCGCCCACCATAAAAACAAAACTGTGTGGCCTCATAGGGCTGACAGAATAGGCAGAAAAGGTCAGCGGATGGCATGACAGCAACATTAGGAGACTCTTCCACAAGGCTGAGCAAATTGTTTTCTCTCTAGAGCCAGAGAATAAATATTCTGGAGCCTGGAAACCAATAAGCAAAATGGAAGATACTTAAGAAAAAATGTTCACTATTTTTTTACTCTCAAAATCTTTATGGACACTGTAATTTAAATGTCATTAATTTGCACAGTTTCCAAATATTATTATTCTTTCTCCCCTTTTTCCTCAACCATTTAAAATATAAAACCCAATCTTAGATTGCTGGACAAAATCAGACCAGGGATGGGTGTCAGCCCGGGAACTGTAGTTTGCAGACTTGTACTCCAGCAAGCCAAGAGGTTGTGGGGCAGAGTTAAGCCACAGAGTCAGCATATCCGGCATTGCATTTCCCTCCACGTTTCTTTAAAACACCATAAACCTAAAGCTGCACTGAAACATCCCCAATTCCCTTTTAGCAAAATTAGATTATCTACTTCATCCAGTAGCTTATATTCACATTCTGGACTTATTTTAACTATCATCTTAGCTGTGGACGTTGCATTGGTTTTGTATGATAAATACAGACAGGAGCCAAATGGGAAACACACAAGAATCAGTTTGCATTACCATGACGAGCAATGGCATTGGGAAAGCATCTGATGTGAGGTGTCTGCTCTGTAATAGCCAGCAACCACCAGCCACCACTTGTAATGCTCTCCTGTTCTTATCTTGTAGGCTTTCATATCGGACTGGGCAAGACACAGCTAATTGTGACACATGCAGGAACAGTGCATGTATTATCTATAGGTATGTTAACCTCCTCCTCCCACTTTTCTATTATGAGTGACAAATGATGTTTACCCACGAATGCAAGAATCATCGGGGGCCATGCTGGGATGATTATATCAGACACAAAGTAAAGGGCCTTATTTGACCATAATTCTAAGCTCCTTCTAAATACTCAACCCCAGGTGTATGATCCCAGGATGAGGGAGAGCTTGAGCTCATTTATCTTGCAAATGCATCTTAGTGTTTTCAAAAACTGGTATAAGTTTGATGGCTTGTTCCCTCAGAATCGCTAGTGATGAGCACTGTACTATGTGTTCAGGAAAAGCTCTGAAAGCTAAGCCCTTCAGATGGTATAGAATCAAAGACGGCAAACCACACTCAAGGTGCTAGGAATACCACAGAAGAACCCAGGCTGCTTGCACCAAATATGAAATTTATACAAAGATTGTGGCACTGGCATCCCTTGGGACATAATCCCCTGTCTAGAATCCGTACCGCTGTTCATCATGTTTTTTAATTTAAAGTTTGTTTAGATTATTCACATCAACAAGAATACAGCAGAAATTTTCAATAGGGAAAAACCATATTAGGCTTCTCTCGGAAAGGTAGAATTTTCAGACATGGTCACAACCTGCAGGGAGGTTACTGTCTGTTTTCTTTTCGGAAATGTAATTTTCACAAACAAGATATGAGAGCAGTAAGAGATGTTATGATTTAGTTCATTGTTGAAAGTTAAGCCTGAAGGACAATTTTAGCGGACTTGCCAAATAATCAAAAACTATTCTCGCTGAATAGTTATGTATCTAGACGTGTGTACAAGAACTTCCATCTCTTCCTGTCCCCCACGAATACACCTTCTAAAAAGATCTTCAAAGTCACCACCCTCTCATCAAAAAGATGGAGACAGGGAGATCGTGTAAATGTCTTCAATGTAGCAAAAAGCTTAAAGCCACACCTTGGGCCCATCACACATCTCCATCCGAGGCGGAACATCCCACATGGGACTCAGACTCTTTAAAAGCAGAGTTGGGTCACTTGGTGACCTTCTCTGGGGCCAGGCAGAAGAACCCAAAGGCAGACATGAGCACCAGGTGTCACCCTAGCACATTCCTTACTGCAGAAGTCCACAAAGAGCAATTTTGCCTCCAACGGGACATCTGGCAAGGTCTGGAGGGAGACGTTTTCAGCTGTCACAATGAAGGAGGTGCCATGGGCATTGAGTAGGTAGAGGCCAGGGATGCTGCTAACGTCCTATAAAGCAGAGGACAGCCCCGCAACAAGAATTCATCAAGGCTGACAAAGCCTGCCCGGCTGGAACCATCCCCAAGTTAAGGACTATAAAAGGCACACACCAGCTGCTAAGGCCTCCTGGCAGTACACAGGGGGCCTGGACCCCACAGCAGCCCTGGGCCAGCATGCCAAGCCGCCTGACTGTCCTCCCACTTCTAATAAAGAAGAGGTGAAAAGCAAGCATCCAGGCAAATTTTGTTTGTCAGAACTCCCACAAATTGCAAATTACCTCCTCAGAGACAGCTCCCTATCAGAGAAGCTTGGTTAGAGGGAATATTCTCACTACATTCATGTTGTGGAAGAGAATTTAGAGTCAACAGTGAAGGGATATAACTCTGACATAAAGTAACCTTCGCTAATATTAGTCATTAGGAAAAGAAGTGGGGAATGTAAAGCGCCTGGCATCTACCCTCACCGTTTAGCTTTTGTTACTTTGGGAGCTGTGGCTCACCCAGTCTTTTAAGGCGACAGAGCAGAAGTGAGCAAAGATCTTCAGAGAAGGCTCAGAGTGAGCTTGATGAGCACAAATCCATTTAACATTTTGTGGGTGATTGGAAAAAGAATTTATTAGGGCACTCTCCAGTGTAACTGAAGTAATTTAAGTAAATTTAGCTCTAAATCCAGAAGTAACTTACACTAAAAGTGATATTAAAAGTGATTTAACAAGCCCGGGAAGGACAGAAATTTGTCTTTTTCAGGAATTAGCATTGAGTGGTTGCTATTTAGAATTGGCTCAACCAACATTCTGCATGAATCCCAATACACCAGCTACTGGCCCACTTTCTCAAAGAATTTTGTCTCGGAACCACAGGAAATTGCCCAAACTGAGCAAAGATTGACCAGTGAGAAGGACCTCTGGTCGCCTCCTACAAAATGGAGGGAAATGCACATCCACTCAGAGACCTTGTCATCAGAGAGGCGACCCCAGGGACTGCTGCGTGCATCCTCAAGAGCTGCACATCAGGACCCTCCAGAGCCAGGCACTTCCCCCACCAGTCCTCCCTCTAATTGAGCCAAGCATCCCTGGAGAGGTGGTGCTAGAAAAACTGGAATGTTCGATCTGTTTTTCGGGAAAGTATTTTAAACTCTCTCCCTTCGGAGGGACGACAACACCAATTCCCCAACCCCCAAACCTGTGCAGCAAACAGAAGTTATCTTAGAAGGGCTTACGAGCAACATTTCAGCTGGACTCCCACTCTCTCTAGACTTCGAGTTGTTAAGAAGGATCTCGGTATCACTACCTAGTTGAACACACACAGTGCATCAGGCTCCGTTCCCAATTCTCCTATCACTTTACGTTAGAAATCATGAAAATTTAACTGTTACTAACTTACAGAAGGTTACAGGTCAACAATAAAATGCAACACTCTGTACCCTGGTTATTGACGCTGGACCGGGGTTTTCTGAGCTCCTCCGTGGATGCTAAGACAGGTGAAAGCTCACATCTAGTCAGCTAACTAAAAAACCAGTCAAAAGGGAACTCAGACAATTAACCTGTTAACTGAATCTGAATCATAGAAATTGAGATCTTCCATGTAGCTGACTTAAAGTTATGCCAGGCTTTTGAGGGGCAGCCCTGATGTTTTCTGTGACTGTGGGCACCATGCTCAAGTTCCAAGTGATTTCCCATGAACTGCCTTGTGAGGGAATCTGAGTTCAGAACACGGTTCTAGATCCTGATTTGCCTCTACCTTTTTCACACTTGATATCTGGCCACACCCTACTCTGTCCAAGGCCTGTAACTCACAGAAGGAATTCTCTCTTGCCTGAGTTCTATTACGTTGGTTTACGCAGCATTCAAAAAAATCACATCATTTCAATGATGGGTACAAATGGCATGAACAGATCCCAACACAATATCCTCTTGGGGAGCATACAGCTGCAGAATAAGGACAGAGGGTTGTGGGTCAGCCACAGAGAAACTTGTTCACCAGGAGCAATGGCCTGTGTGGGCATCGGTTACGTCATGGGGGAAGCACATGGTGGCTAACTCAGGACAGCCAGTAAGGGGGTTCCCGTCATACTGTCTGAAAACCAAAGACTAACAGAACAAGACAAAAGGATACTGGTCTGACTCTTGGAAGACTTGCATCTCTCTGAGTCTGCCCCCATGGCTGGCCGTTGTTGACACACCTAGATCCATAACTTACCGCATGTCAGGGTTCCCTTTCGTCAAAAGAGAAAGGACAGCAAGGGGGAATTCAGCCAGGTGATTTCTCAGTTTCCGGTCAGCCCTAGGATTTAATCCTCAAATGCCAAATGCTTCACGAAGAATAGAGGTTTCTTTGGTAGAAAAGCATTCAGAACTCATTAGTCCTTTTGCAGAAGAAATCACCTGTTTGGGGGACCTGCAGCAGTGTACTGGGCAGCCCCAGCATCTCAGAAGCAAGCCAAAGGAAGTGTCCAGATTTCAGAGGCTTTATGACTTAGGTCCATTTCTTCTCACCGAGGAAACACGCAAGCAAGTCCTCCTTTAATTCCCGCACACAGCTCTACAGAGGGAGGGTCCCGTCACCAAGGGCAAGTTAGCTCAAGGTCATGATCCTTGCAGTTGGTTCCAAGGGTGTCTCTGGCACCCACGCTCTCAGATAGCAGAGGCTGCATCCTAGACTTCAGGACTATTCCTAGCAGTCCCCATACCACCCTCTCAGCCACTGTTCTTGGTCTTTCCCATGGGATGCCTCGAGTACCTCGAGACTGAACAGGTTAAAGGAGTCCCCAAATCAAGAAATTTTTAAATCCCAAAATACTGTGGGCATCGCAGAAACTGGGAGAACACAAGGGGCCATCACAGCTGCCGTATTGACACGTTGCAATTCGTCATACCTATTTGCTGGCAGGCAGAGAGCCCCTGGAGGTCAATGAATCTGACCCCGCCTGTCTTGCGTGTACACACTGCTTTTCACTCCAAACCCAAATACCCTCTCTGAGCAGCATAAGAATCCACTGTATTTCCAGTAACCCTTAGCCCAGGGAGATGCCAAGGTGCCGTGTTCAAGACCCGGCTGCCGGCAGTTTTATCAGCACGGTCCTGTGATAAATAGGTCATTGCTACAGGGAGCAGTACCTGTTTCTCCATAAAATGTAAGTCTGTTGTGGAAATACGCAGGACTTGGAAGAAACCTCAAAAGGACAAAAGGTCTTGAAGCAATTTCAGGGAAAAAGGCTGCCAGTACCACAAGCCAGAGGTCGGCAATATCAGCCTGCCAGAGCCAGGCGCCCCAGAGGTTGGGGCCGTACCCCACTCTCCCCACTCTCTCTCTTTGGCGGGGTGTCCACTACACCTCCAACGTCACGTGGGGCAGCAGGAAGGGATCAGATAGGGCCCTTCCAGCTCTGAAAGCTCACTGACTCTCATTTACAAGTGATTCACTGCAGAAGCGAGGCTGAGCGTCCACAGAAAGTAGACACGGAGGGAAGAGTGAGGACAGGCACAAGGCATTTCTCAACCAAGTACCATCCGTTCCTGCATCAGCAAATCGATTTATCCAGAGCCAAACGACTATTCCTGGGCAGCGAATCGATTGCCCTGCTCCCTCGTCCACTGAAACCGCAAACATCAAAAGTAGTATTTCCCGTAACTGGGAATTCTGAGGTGGTTGACATCATTACATGTTTTCCTAAGATAACATCCCTTACATTGTGATCTGGACCAATCGTGAAATTCTAATTAAAGACCATCTCAGCATGAAAAAAGATTAAAAGAGATACAAGTTTCAGTTTTCGTT